CATAGGCAACCAGAGCATGTCATGACTTTCTTGCTGGCTGAAATGGGTACAAGTGGGTCACTTGATGGACAGCAAAGGCTTGTTGTTAAAGGAAGATTTGCGCCTAAAAATTTTGAGGGCATCTTGCGGCGATATGTCAGTAAGTTCTTGTCATTGCCACCTGGCATGCCTAGTCAATTGTGAGATTAAATTGTTCAATTTGTAATTTAGAAGTGGATACCTCCTACTGATATTCAATCCTGGAAAGTAATTAAAGCAATCTGTCACATTGGTCTGGTTGTAAGGTCACCTAATATTCTGTAACAAGTGGATATTAGTTCAAGTTTTGTAATATTTGCAGAGATTTTGCTGACGATATATTTTATATACAGATGAATATGTCATTTGCAATGGGTGCAAAAGTCCCGATACAATCCTTTCAAAGGAGAACAGGCTCTTCTTCCTTAGATGTGAAAAGGTATGATATTGTTTCCCCCTGGCCGCCCTCTCTTTTTGTAGGTATAGGGTTCTACTCTAAATTGTGAAATTTCCAAGCATTTTCTCTTTCAAGACCTTTTACTTTTGATAACTTGTCCTTTTCCTTGTAGTTGGAATATTAATTATTCATGTTACTTCTTATCATTTCTGTTTGCCAATTGGGGCTGGGGTGTGTGACGATTTGTGTTTGCCTGCATTGTCTGATCGTGTTTCCTGAAGAGCATTTTGCTCTGAGGCCTCTGCAACTTGTTTTTATCCAAAACTTTGGAAGCTTTACTTTCTCTCTCCTCCCCCAAAACCACCACAACCCCCCCCCCCCCCCAACAAACACCCAAGGGGCAGGTGGAGTAGAGTGATTGTAGAGGAGAAGAGGGCCTGTGTGTGGTAGGGCGTCGAGAACGTCATTGATTTTTGAGTTTCTTAAATCGTCTGTGTTCTCATCTGCTCTTTGGAAAACTTAAATCATCCTGACAGCTTTTGTCACACAAGGCCAATGATGTATTCCGAAGAGCCTACATTGTCTGATACATTTTTTATGATTAGATGAATATGACTGTTCTGAGGCCTTGTGGAAGATGCGAGTACTTTTGTCTAAGATTAGTGACACAACTTTTGGTTGCAGAATTGCAGTCCCAATGAACTTTTGGTTACTCGTGAAAATTAAGGAACAGCTCCGGATGGATTTGTTTATCCTATTTTCGTGTTTTATCTTCTTTACTATTGCCTTGTGAATATCTTTCTGAAATTACTCGTCTGTTTTTTCATTGCAGTGTGGTTCTGGAAGGTCAGTTGCTCCAATTAAAGCAGGATTTGTTGCTCGTGTTGGTCGCCGGAAAGCTGGAACTTGAGTTGGCTTGTTAATGTTCGGCTGGAAGGCTTTTCTGAAAATTTTGAAGTCTGTCTAGTAATCTTGTTTGAGTAAATTCATGTTACGAACATTTGAATCTTGCTTTTTGAGAAGAAATGTTATTGTTAAATATATATATATACAGTGTGCGACTTTAATATGCTATGCAAACTGCATTTAAGTTGAAAGTTCAGATCACTCCCTGCATGCTAACAGCCGCTGGGCTTTTGCTTCTTAATAATCAGGGAGGAACATCGGTCAGTTGAGGATAATCCACATCTAAGCTTTGTTCGTTTTCTTGATTATTATAGAATGAAAGAGTCTTCTGTATATGAAAATCGAAAAGCAGCGGTTGGCTCCTCGTATTGCTTTTATATTCCGCGGCGCTAGCTGATATATAATCCTGACATTAAAAAAACAAAAGAAAAAAGAGGTTACTTGCCGCATTTTTGCAACAAAACATTAAAAGGGTGCCCAAAAAGAAGTGAAGGATGCCAAGTCTAGGCAACAGACCCGACATGTTGACAAATCAGCTCATATTGATTATTCTGTATGCGACGCCATCTTTTAAGGATGCAAAAAATTGCTTGCTACAACAAAACTACAGCCACAGCACAATGAGAAAATTTTGCCCCTTATATAATCTAGTTAGGAGTGTTTATTTATTTTGAAGAAACCCCTCCAGCCCCCTAATCTCCAACCTCGTCTCGTTCTTCAGTTTGGGCTTGCGAAATGGTCTGCCCGCCGCCCATGCAAAGATCTGGGAACGTAAAAGCCTGACATCAAGGTCTGCCCGCCACCATGAATGGATGCTCTAGGACCCAAAAGGGCACAAAAAGCAATCAAAACTCGAAAACAAGTTTCTCCATAAAGCAAAACTGGAATAGGAATTTCTCTTTGTCATTCTCAAAAAAAAAAAAAAATCCTATTTGTCAATCCACCAACAACCGCAAATAACACACACACATACTATTTAAGGGAAACCCACAGCCCAATCCATAAGGCATGTTGACTTTCAGACTACACTGAGAACTTTAAGTAGTACGCACACACATCACTCTCACAATCGATGTGGGATATAGGGAAAGAAGGAGGGAAAACACCACCAAAACTATTGCCAAAGGCTCACCAACGGCTTTTACCACTCCTATTTGTCAATCCACTTGTATATATACATACGTACAGTCGGATAGCAATGTAGCGGAATTCAAGACGCTCGAAAATTTGTTTAACCAAATAATCGACAGAAGAAAGGATTAAAGAAAGAAGAACTCCACTGGGAGTTGATTTCTCGAAGTTTGATTAATACAAAAGTCAAAATTTTGAAATTAATTAAGCCCAAACAAAAAAAAAGAAAGAAAAAGAAGAACCCCAAATGATAGGTTGTTCTTAACTAAAGAAAGAGACATTTGGACTGTTAGACATTATTGAGTCCCTTGAGCGGGGGAAAAGCGTGTGATCAGTAATTTGCTCAGCTGGCCGTCTTGTAAAAATACCAATCGGGCCTTCTAAATTATGAGAAAGATATTGGTGACGCAGCATGAGGAAAAACTCCTAACTTTTGAATAAATTAGTTTTTCAAAAACTAGTTTTTTAAATACTATAAAAATTTTTAAAAAGCACTCTAAAAAGTAATATCAAATTTTTTTATTGTTTAAAAAATATCTCAAAATATATTTTAAAAACTCTACTACTCTTAAATATTCTAAAATATTTTTTAAAAATATCCCAAAATATACTCTAAAAACTCTGCTGCAGTAAAATTTTTCAAAAACATCCCCAAAATAAACTAATTCAAACGGAGCCAATGGGCTAATATTTGAACTGATTCTCCTTCAAATCAAATCAGACTGTATTGTCTTTTGGGGTAGATTCCAGATGCTACGTGATCTCTGGTGATGAGGGAAGCTGTCGATTAACCAACCCCCTTTAGTGGAGTTGGCCACCACCTTTAGTGTGGGGTGGGAGGTCAAGGGTTCAACCCTTGCTCCCATCAAAAGTTGCTACTTAATGTGGCTTTACTTAAGATCCATGTGGGTGCTGTGCACCCGTATGGCCCGATGGTAGTTTAGTCCACATCGATTTCCCGTGACCCTGTTGGGTCCCTCCCCTAGTATAGGCTATATTAGGATTAGGAGTAGATGTGGATGTAGATGATGATAAGTGATAAAAAAAAAAAAAAAGAGAGAGGGAAGCTGTCGATTTAGATTAAAGAAACTGCTACAACACTATAATAATGGAAGACGCAGCAAAGATCTGAAGAGATGTGTAACCTCAGCAAGAGGCAGATAATTAATTTAATTAATAATATGGTGGAAGGGAAATTTGGGCGTGGCATGAAATAAGAGCATGTCACGTCTGTCTCTGTTGATTTCATCTCCACCAATCGAAAGGTGTTGAGTCCATCTCTTATTCTACTTTTGGTTTCTATCCTTTTCTTCAATTTGATGATTTGACCATTAAAAAGAAAGAAAAGCCCATCCTTCTGCATTGTTTGATGAAACCGTGCGATACTCGTTCTCCTTATCTTTTTCTTTTCTTTTCTTTTCCCCATGAATTAAACACGTAGATGTAGTAGTTGTCCTCTTATTGCACAAAAAAAACAAAAATAAAGGAACATAAAGAATTTAAGGGGATTTTTTTTGTTTCAGATTTAGGGTTCTTCCAGACACATTATAAAGAATTTCATCTGGGAAAGAAAAATGGTTGATGAAATGAAACGTGCACAACATACTTCATTCATTGGATTGGATTACTGTCAAAGGAATATGTGCCCTATTATGGGGTGCTTTAAGATTGGAAGGAACGCTGGGCACAAAAAACCTCAGCCCTTTATCCTGAAGGGTTTCTATTTCCCAAACTTTTTTATCTTTATAGCTCTGCAATTGTCTTTTCTAAGAAATCTTGTCGACCCCTGAAAATGATGTAAATGACCCATTACATAAGAAGATTCCGTCCAGCTCCAAAACGCATATTTACGAAAAGGTTGCAACAACACCTAACCATTCTTTACTCAAATCAGCTCATTCTCTAATACTAATCTTTTCACCGAAAATTCTGCAACAGCCGAGCAGTCAAAAAACCTGGCTGGATGGAACTTGGAAGTCACTTTTATGTAGCAAAAATGCTATACAGGTGTTGCTGTAAGAATGCTACTAAACCTTAAACTAAACAATTGTGTGATGTGGGTCTGAATTCTCATTCTCAGTACCTTTTGGTCGGGATCTTGAAAGACTAATAATGCCCAAGGCCAAGAGGTAGTAGTAAATACCAACGTATTGCATCTTCTTATTACAGTAAAAACAGAAAAGGGAAAATTCATGTATCAACTTATAGGGAAAATAATGCCCATTATTTTACCTACCCATATCCATAGGGAATTGTGTTACTCCAATCAGAGATCAAAATTCCAGAAAGAATCAACTATTTTCCAGTCAATTTTGTTTGCCCCTGTAGATTTTTCCGTCACTCAGGAGACAAAAAAGAATCCCATTGCCTGGATAAACAACAATGGATACCCCTCTGGATTCTCTAAGTCCCAGCCGAAAGGCAAAAGGGGATAAAGGAAAAAGTCACACAATTTTCACGTTTGGACTAGTATTTGGTGGAGTATTTTCAATTTCATACACTATGAACCCGCACCTCACCTGGTCAAAATTGCACGTCCCAACTCCGAATCAAACAGACAGTAGTTAAATTAAACCCCTAAACTTTTATCTGAATTCCCCCAAAATGTTGAAGAATCCCCGGCCCATCAATCACCCCCAGCCCATGTTGAGAAACACTCCAAAAGGATAGAGAAACAAGTGGTGGTGGCCGGTGGGAATGGGATTACCAAAAAGTCAGGCTGTAGTGTTTTGCCGCTGTCCCCTTTCTCCTTCAGCTGATACCATCAAATGCTTCCAACCATATATATTGTAAACTCTCCACTTCTCTCACTTCACTCTCTTCCTTCCTTGCACCCCTCCAACCCTCTCTCTCTCTCTCTTGCCGGAGGAGATTCAGACTTGTAAAATTTTTCCCCTTCGTCAAATCATTATTAAGTTTTCTTGGACTCCCTATATCTCTACCTTTGTTTGGAAGTGGAAGATTCAAGGAGAAAGGGTGAGAAGCGAATATATATATCTCCTATATTTATTATTTCCTCTTCTTCCCTAGCTCATAATAGTATGTTTTTCCCTCTTGTCTTTCCAATCAATTTCTTCCTCCATCTGATAATGCGAGGCTTCACTTTTTTTTTTTGGTTCAGCACATAACTTCTTATTTAACATTCTCTGCCTTTTTCAATCCGTATCTCCTTTTCGTATGTTTTTAGAGAAGTTTATATTAAATTTCATCTTTTTCTTCTTCCAGAGGTGCCCCACAAGCTTGAAACTTGAAATCCATCTCTGTTGATTAGTCGTCCCCTGATCTGAGGTAAGAAGTATGAATCCACTTCTCTGTTTCTGTGTCACTGCAATTTCCTCAGTTTAATATGCATTCATATGCATACAAAATGAATCTTTTTATTCTAACCCTGCAAGTTAAAATTAATAATAATAAAAAATTCGTTTGGTCCACTGAAAAGTTGGGTTCCCTTTTTCTTAAATTAATTTTTTTTTTTACCATTTTGGGGGTTTAAAGTTGGACTTAAAATTCTGGACAATGCTTCATTTCCTTTTCTTGCTCCTCGTAAAACGTTGTCCAAAAGGTACGCTAATCTTTCGTTTCACCTAATTGCTGGCAGTTCTTCCAGTATGTTGAAAGTTGGTCCCTTTGCTGGTAAGAACTTTGATAGGAGTTGGAATCAAATCACCGGTAGAGACTATTTTGACATTCGACACCACATTTGTCAAATGTCATTAAAATTTCTGAACCCTTTAAAATATGTTGTTGGTTCATGGTTATAGTATCAAGAAGGAAAAAAAAAAAAAAAAACTCATTTGTCAATAATAGCAGTAAATAAAAGAATCTATAAAAAAAAAAACTATAAATATTTCTCGAGGAGATTGCTACTCTTATCATTTTTTTGTTTCACTCTTAACTCCTCCCATTTATTAGTCTTTTCCTTTTTTTTTTTTTTTGTTTTATGATGGGTGGGCTGTTAAGCTTTTTTTTTTTTTTTTTTTTTTTTTTGGGAGGAGAGAAGGGAAAAATGAGAGAAGGGCGGGTGGGGGTTGGATTCATGAATCAGCAAACATAACACGACCGCGTGGATATAGCTGGAGATGGTGTTCTGTACAGTTGTGTCAAAGCCCCCATGAGTGCTGAGGCCACGACCTCGTCATATAGAATTTTTTTTTGTGCCTTTGTTTATTTATGCGGACTATTTATCAATTACTCTGAAGTTCCCGCGCTCTACATGCGCGTGGTGCCACGCCGCACTTATGTGAACCGGGAACGTGCTTGGTCCTTGCCATGTGTCGCCCATAATTTAGTCCAATCATTGTGGGCCCTATTGGTTTATGTTAAAAGTAAAAATATCCAATTAGTCACACTCTCACCTCAGTTTCATGGACGAAATATGAACGTTGGAAGCTTCTTTCTAGGCCCAAAGCCACTTTCCTCTGTTGTCTTGTTGTTGTTGGATCGGTCCGTTTCACATAATGATGCTTTGGGCCGGCTTGCATCAGATTCTTCGGGCTCTCGTCTTCGTCCTAATTTTGTACCTAGTTCTTTTGGTGCAAATATTTAGTAATCGGAACTCAGCAAATAGTAAAATTGAAATGTTTGTCTTGTTACCACTGAAGCACAGAGTTGTGGTTTGGAAATGAAACTGAATGGTGGCAATAAAAGCTCAGATGGGCTGATGTTTGGATTGTGCTTTCGCTGGACTTGATGGTTTAAGCTTGATTACTGTTTCTCCGTAATTTCCAAAGGATGGTATTGATTGTCTAGGTTAAAAATTATATCCTTCAGTGATGAGATCAATATTGCAAATTCGCATTCCATGTACAAGGGATGAAGACGAATTTTATGCAGTATCTCGTAGCCATTATTTATGCTGAGCTAAATTGCAGGCATTGTTCAGACCAAGGTGTTCTGCTCAATCAGCACAATGGCAGCCACGTTGGTGAGTAGTTAATCTTCATATGCAGTGTACCTCTTCTACTTGTTAATAAAGAATACAGATGATTGTTTGATCGTTTGGTACCCCTTTCTTCGTGCATTTTGGTGTGGAAGTAAGGAAAGTCAATAAGGCCACCAATCTCGGCTGTTCATGCAAAGGATTTTTTGTATGCACTAGGCGCAGCCTGCATGGTCTGAGAAATTTAAAGCATTTAGCTTTGAAACCAAAATCGGGTGGGAGCTTAAGATGACATGTTGTTATTTTGTTCCTTATTTCAGGTCAAGCAGAATAAGTTGAAGAAGACTATGTCAAAAAAACCACATTCCTGGTGGTGGGATAGCCACGTCAGTCCTAAAAACTCTAGGTGGCTTCAAGAAAATCTCGAAGGTTAGAGTATAGGTTGAACCTTTCTTTTCTTTTCTTTTTCTTTTATTACTTTCATTTTTTCAACTGCTATATGCTTTACTTTCTTTATTGGGAACTGTCCCCCACCCCTCTCCCCCCGGGGGGACACACAAAAAAATATCCCTATAAAAAAAGTGAAAAATAATAAAACGAAAGGAAATATAAATCAGCTTTTTGTTTATATCAAATGTCATCTAAATTTCTAATGGTTATTGCAGTTCATTTTTATCATGCTTATCCACTATTTTCTTTATGGGTTCTCATACTAAATGTTTTTGAGTCTAATTAGAAGCACAAAACAAAACTTTTTTTTTTCCTGGTTAGTCATCAAAGAATTAAGTAGATGCTTAATACTGAAGAGGAAAATAGTCATTAGATTATTGCTTGAAAAAATGGTTTCTTTTTCTCTCTGTATACAAGAAAAGCTCCCTTGGCTTTGAGAGCGGGGTTATCGAGCACTCCTTCCAAACCCACAAAAGTCGGAATCTAAAAATTTGCTGTGGCCACTGGTTTTAGAATATTTTCAGTTTTTTTTTTTAATATATAAAATGAGGAAGTTAAAACTTTTTTATCTTACCTGAAATATTCCACTAACTGGAATATACGAGTGATTGATACGCAGAAGGCACCAAAGATTGTATTAATTTATTAATAAAATTCAGTCGCTTTCTTAAAAAGGGTCAAAAGTCGGTGGCGGTCATTCTATCATATGGGCTCTGGGACGATGATGTACGCCATATGTCTGTAACTTCAACCACAGTTCAATTTGATTGCATGTGATGGTAAGCTAAGCCATTCAAGATGTCGAACCAAAAACTGACAAAAAGATCATTGATGTCAGAGATGGATCAGAATATCAAACGGATGCTGAAACTCATTGAACATGATGCGGATTCGTTTGCTAAAAAGGCCGAAATGTATTACCAGAAGAGGCCAGAACTTATTAATCTCGTTGAGGAGTTCTACCGAATGTACAGGTCATTGGCAGAGCGTTATGATCATGTTACTGGAGAGCTTCGGAAAAGCATTCCCTCGGATCTCCAATCGCAGGGCTCCGGCATCTCAGATATAAGTTCTGAACCACCTTCCACTTTGCCATCTCCTGATCGACGGCCCAGCCGACGAAAATCTGGTACTCGTGCTGCTGGATTTGAGTTTTTTCTTGGGGCTGGTGGAAATGGCACAGACATGTCCAACAAAGAAGGAGATGAATCATCAACCCTGGATTCTGATTCAGAATCAGATGATTCTTCTGTAAACAATTACACAGCAACACACAGCAGTGATGATGACCAAGGTTTGCGTAAGAGGATTATTGAATTGGAGGTAGAGCTCCGTGATGCAAAAGAAAGGTTTTTAATGCTACAGGAGGAGATTTCTGAAGGCTCCCACCGAGGAACCAAAAATGAAAACTCTGAAATTTTGCTGGCTAGACTAGCAGGATATGAGGAAGAGTTGAGGAAAGCAAGGGAGAAGATTAGACTATCTGAGGAACAGATTAACATGTTGAAAGATGAGCTCCAAAAGTACAAGACGATGGAATTCACCAACAGTGTGCATGGTAAGGATGTCTCTGTGCTAGAAGATGCAGTGGTTGTGGAAGACGGTTCCAAGGTGCACAAACAAGAGCTGACAGACCTTCAAGAACCCAATGGTGATTCGGAAACAGTGCACTCAGAAGACAAAATCCACAACCTCAAGAAAGAGTTAAAAATTACGAAAGAGAAGCTTCTTGATTCCGAGAAGGAAGTTGCACGCTTGAGCTTGGAACTTCAGAATAATGCGTCAGCTATCCATGGCTTGCAGGATCAGCTAGGATCATCACAAAAAGATATTTCTACTTGGAAAACCAAACTTGAAAAAGAGAGAAGGGAGGTCTTGAAGCTGCAGGACCGAATTGTGAGGTATAAATCCAATATATCAGATCGTGATCAAGAAATCAGGAGATTAAGGGAAACAATTTCCAATGCTAACGAGAGCTTATCAGAGGAGAACTCTCAGCTTCGAACTGAAATTACTCGAATGGTGAAGGAAAAGACGTATCTGGAGGATAATCTGAAAGAAATGGATTTACGCTGCCAATCTTTGGAAGAGGATGTCAGACGGATCAAGGTGGGGAAAGCAGAGATGGAAGCTATGCTTGGGGCTGAAATCGACGAATTGAGGGTAGGCATTCTCGAGAAGAGCAGTCACATTGAAGAACTGAATAGAAGTCTTGATACATTTAAGTTGAACCATGAAACATTGAGGGCAGAGAAGGATGCACTTGTTGCAAAAATTGTTATGTATGTTGCAGAAATTAGTTCCAAAGACATCCGCTTTGATGAAATGAGCAAGCATTTGCACCAATTGCATGTGCAGCATGTTGAGTTGATTGCTCGAGCTGATGTAGCGCGTAAACAGGCGGAAGAGCTGCAATTAAGAATTAAAGAACTGGAGAGAGAGGTGGGGAGGCAGCGAGAATTAATTTTGGAAGGAGCAGAAGAGAAAAGAGAGGCTATAAGGCAGCTATGCTTCTCACTTGAGCATTATAGGAACGGCTACCATATGCTACGGCAGGCTGTCATAGGGCACAAGCGGCTTCCAGTGATGGCATCCTAAAGTAATTGACAGCAACGGACACCGTCATTCCTCCTCTTCCTCTGTCCCTGTAAAATGCAATGATCTGTTTTGTTTTGCATGTGATGCTACTTGGGATTATTATCTTGGTTATGTCCCGGTCCTTCTGGTTCTTCTGACTCTATGCCATTGCTGCTGTAAAATTTATCTGCCGCTCAGTGCCCTACCATTTGTACTTTTGATGATACGAGTTTTTTGTACTCCTTTTGCATTTGTTGGCTGCTTGAGAGCTTGCTGCCACGACTGTTGTGTTGGGGGCAGGGACGGAGGGATGAGTGCATATCTGCCGCATCAGGGCAGATTTAAATTTGGAGCACGTTTAACCATCCATCCGAGTAACCACGTATAGTCAATTTGCTGAATCAACAAAAGCTGTTCATGTATCAGATGTTGAAACTAAAATTCTCTCAATGCTTTGCACTTGTGAAACAGTTCTGAATTTGTTTGGATAAGAGTTTATTTGGATGATTTATTTGAAATAATTACTGTAGCACTTTTTGTGATGTGATGTATGTGAGATAAAAAGATGATTAAAATTTGTGGAGTAAATTTTTTTATTTGAAATCAAAGTTGTCCAAACAAACCCGAATCTTTATGCTCCAATCCTAACACATAACCGGCGATGTCATCAAGGGAACAGTAAGTCTTCTTTTCATAGGGGGGATTTGGATTGGGCGGTCAAAACCCAAAAAAAAAAAAAAAAAAACCTCTTCTTTTCACATGTACACGATTAATCAGACAAATATTTACACATGGCTGATACAAGACTAGTGGCCGCGAGCCAGTATGCTACTACAGAAAGAAAATGAAGAGCATGATTAGTCTTTTTTTATTTTTCTTGTGTTTTTGAAGTAATAAAAGATGAATTAATTGGTGAACATATTTGGTTCCCCATATATTGAAACGCAACTTCGAACTATTAATCGTCCCAAGCATCGTCTGCTGCACCCTCTTTTCTTGCCATTGCAGGGAAGATCATGTGCTTGTACTTATCCTCCACGTTCAAAGGTGCAGTGCCCAGTAAGGAGACCTTGGAGAGTGCAATCCTCGCTTCCTTATGAGCAGCTGCAGCTTCCTTCTCCATCCTCCGAGCAACCTGACAATAAACCATAGGCAACGTGGGAATAGAAAGAAATGAACTAGTAGTGGCTAATGCAAGCAAAAGACAGATCCAGTGAACCACTATCTATGCATTTTTCTCTAACAATTACTCCAAAAGAAAAATAAAAAAGATAAAAGACCATGCACAAAAGCATAAAACAGGTCCCAAAGGAAAAAGAGAACAACTGAGACAGGCATTCATAACGAACAGAAAAGAGCGGGAAAATAAAAGGATGTGCTCGTTAATATTTACAATGAAGAAGCAACAAGAGGAAAGCCATACCTTCCCAGTAGCATAACTGACTGTATTGCCAGATTCAACATCTACAATTGCTTTCTTTATTTGTGCAACCAGATACTGCAGCATATAACTATGCTCAGCATGTATTTGCATTACCAAAAAAAATCTCTTAACCCCTAAAGAAAATGACATGATAGAAGCGAGTAAATAGAGAAGTAAAGGAGCACCATGTCTCGGTCAGTATAGAATGATGTTGCCCTGCCTGATGATCCAGCACGACCTGTCCTTCCTATTCGGTGTACATAATCTTCCATGGTCTGAAATCAGAAAACCAGATCAGAAGTTCCAGAACTACATTCACAATAGATGTAGGCAAGATAGAAGTGTAGGGATCAATTATACAGGCATTTTTATCACAGGTAAATTAATGGAAGATTATACTGCTGGTTATATAACGAAATAGTTATCCCTTTATTCTGAAACAAACCATAAGTTTATTTATTTTTAGTAATTATTATTCATACAGAGTCTAAAGTATGGTGTCAATTGGTATAACAATACTTGACACATTACTAGAAAAATAGCATCTGATGTTAGCTTCTAGAACCTGCAATTGCATTTCAGTTGTCACAGAGGAGAATACTTCCGCTGAAACCATATTACCTTTGGAAGATCTAGATTCACTACATGAGCCACTCCACTGACATCTAATCCACGAGATGCAACATCAGTAGCAACCTGCACATGACATACCGAACGTCAAATCAAGACATTGGACGAGCTAGAAGGCGACTCATCTAAAGATAAATATCCAGTACTTCATTAACAAAAAGAAAATGATCCATAAGTATGAAAAATGTCTCTTACCATACACGGCTAATAACCCAACTTCATGTACATCAAACCATGTAAGGTTGCTCCCTCTCATAACACATCCAAATAAGTATCCAATATGTTCACAACCAACTCAACAATAGCAAAAATGTGTGACTAATTAGGATATTACATAAGCATAATTCCCATTCAACCATGTGTCAGTATATGGCTTTCTTTGCTTTTGGTTGGGGTTATGTGTAGGATAATACTACAAGACTTCAATATAACACAAGAATTTGGCTACAATGATGCATAACTACAATGAGAAAAAGATACAAGGAACAAATTTGATGTGATATCATGGCAATGAAGCTTGGTGTAAAGTATAGCCTGACAAATTCCTTAGTCTCTAACATACCAAGATATTAGTAGTACTGTGCCTAAAATCATGAAGGGACAATTCTCTTTCGCTTTGACTGCGACCACCATGTAGAACAACCGCTTTTAAACCTTGAGCTATCAATGCTTCTGCAACTTCATCACACCTAGTCTGCATGCAGTTGAATATTCAAAGCACTTAAAAGTTTGAGAGCTGATATCACGGTGTCACATGTGCAAGATAACAATAGCAGCAAACACCTAGCCATCAATAAGGCACCAAAGGAAACAGCATAAAGTACCCCCCCCACCCCACAAAAACCAGCCCTTCCATCTTTTCCCCTTCAATGGTGTCAAGATATACTAAATTTGCAAGCAATGTATACAAATGCAGAGACGCATCTTATACAACTGCCAAAAAGATCAGATTGAGAGTTGATTATTCAACTGGGGTAAGCTTGACATCTAAAACAAGAAGAATGAATATATAAATCTGATATTCAACATTTCTCAAAACTGTAAAGCACGACAAGAAACAATTGCTGAGTCATAACAATCATGGGTTTGGGGATTTCTAACTCTCATGTTTCCTGTCCAATGTGATGATAAATAATACCTTAAGGTAATATATGTGACAGAAAGGGAGAATTGACTGTTCAAATTCTCTCTCTCTTTTACCTTTAACAAGCTACACTAAAACACTCTATAAATCAGCTTAAAGTTGTAATTAACTCTGAAAACTGAATATTTTTCAGAGAAACATCAAGATCCAACAACCTCAAATTACCAAGCCAGCTTTAGAATGTATTATCATGACTTCCAAACATAAACAGTGAAACCCCACATCGAATTGATTTTAGAGAGAGGCTTCTTAATTTATTAGAATAAACAAGTTAAGCTCTCATACGGCAAAAGCCCGCACTGAAATTGTTTTCTAGGAGTATCAGAAGAGCAACACTTTCATATCACATAATCCATTAAGCAAGTTCTAAAACCATGCACATCAAAATTAATTATAAAATCTTCTCAAGGAAACTCCCAATTGAAAGAGCATTATGCTTTATGGCAACTCAAGCAACAATATATCCACTGAGATGGCCAAGTTTTAACACCCAGGAGAATCCCAATTATTCCAATGCCAAAGGTGATGCTTTTATCAATTGATATCATACATCTGTAAGAAAAAACTGTGATAGCATTATAGAAATGGAATGACAAAAGAAGGATAAAAGAGAGAGAAAATGAACTTAAACAAGTTTAATAGCTCTACCTTACGTTCCACAAAGACAATTGTCAAAGGAAAGGGATGGCCAAATCTTTCAGCCCTAGCAGCTTCCTCCACGAGCATTCCTAAAAGCCGATCTATCTATAAACACATAAAACTCACGCATTTTTAAGAGCACATAGGATGAGAATTAATTATAGATATCCATACCTATAAGGAAAGGACCCTAAATATCTCGTGACATGGGTTAAACATTAAGAGTAATGAAAACATGCTTTTGCAAATGCTATGGCAACTGCATGTGCAAGATTAGATTGTCTTAAATTCTGTTGCTATACCCATGGACAAACTTTTTAAATAATAGCTGCTTCAGGTGCAAATGATACAGTTCAACTTAACTAAGCATCTTGATAATTGACAGGAAGCATAAAATGCCAGCATTCTTTTCAACTTAACTAAGCATCTTGATAATTGACAGGAAGCTCATAAAACGCCAGCATTCCATCAAGAATAAAGAGGGCATCCACCATAGCAATGATCCAATAATGTATTTGTTAAACTATGAATTACTTATGCCAAAATCAAGCTCACAAAGAGTTTATCTAGTTTTTTTTTAAAAAAAAAAAGAAAGAGAGAAAGTATACCTTCTCATTTTCAGGCACCTTTTCCAAACTCTGCAATACATTTGCAGTTGGGCAACTCACTTTGCCTACCTTTACTTGCACTGGATTCGTCAAATACTCCTACAGAAAACAAAAAAAAAATTAATTTATGGATAATTTTTTTAAAAAATAAAAAAAGCACTTAGTTGACAAACCTAGATTACTTAGTACAATGACAAAAAGAATATGTTGAAGATAGAAAGCATATGTAACAAGCCAACTCAAATATCAGGTTTCTGATAGCAAGAAGTTGATGTAGTAGATAAACTTCGGTACATGAACCTTCTCAGAAATTAGCAATTTGAGCATACTTCAACCAGTACTAAGAAGATGAAGCAAAAAAGACACAATCAAGCGTGAACCAGGACTCCACAAAGGACAAGCCAAGGAATAAGGCTTCTGCAACTATATCGTGATGGACTGTAAAGCCAGTCCAGTTTTGGCTCTACAAGTAGCAAGAACTCTCAAAAAGGCTCAGACACAATGTACATGCACTATGAATCCGAATTAACATCTTAAGATACTCTTCAGTGAAATACTAATCTCATTTCAAAATCATCGAGTGGCATAAAGAGCAGAACCAGTTTGAGGCCCAAGCATCAAACCTACAAAGGTTATTTAAGTAGACACAGCACATCATTCAAGTGTTAAGCAGCAAACTACAGGGTAAATTGAAAATATAACCTGATTCTTACCTGTGCTAGCATTTCAATCTCCACTGGCATGGTTGCACTAAACAATAAAGTTTGATGTTTTTGAGGAAGATTCTGCATCACCTGTAACAAAAGCAAATGACATGCAAATGTTTGCTTTCAGTTATATTTCTTCCCTTTGCATCTAAGTATTTTACTGCAAATTTCTTCCCATACTCAGCATGGAAACAGCAAGGTTAAAATTATTTATACAGCAAATTCTTCTTATTATCAGTCTGTTTTAGTTGCATTTTTGTTGCCTATTAAT